CTTATTTATTTTCTTAATGGTAAATTTATTTTTCAAATATCTTTTGTAAACATTAGTTCACATATGAGTTTTCATACAAGAGTATAAGATTAATAAGATTATTCCTATGTTTTATTAGGTATATAATACACCTTTGAAGAATTACTCGCCTCTACAAGATGGCGACGCGGCTCCAGGTAAAGTTAAACCTGGCTTAAGCATTAAGCTACGAGTGGAGTTTTGAAATAAGCGATTTTAACTTTCCAGATCATAATAAACTTATGCTCTAGAAATATATGGGGACTTAGTAATCTCTGAGGAACTCATTATAGATTTGGTTGTAGTGCAATTACTATGTATGACTTTTAAACTTCCTGACATATACGTAACTTACGTCTGCAATAAAAAATATACATTACTAAATTGTTGACACATGAAAATGCCGTATAAACATTAATAATAATACATCTTTCAGATCTCATGGGCCTCATTCGAAATGGGGTTATGGATTCTCTTAAGTTAACACCACATTGGCGTAGCGAGAGGGGAGAATCAGATTTTAGGGGCGGCATTTTAGAAATTTTAAGTTATTTTATCAAAATCTCAGGAAAAGAAACTGAAGATTAACTGTTACTGAATATATGAATTTTGATAAAATTTGAGAAAGTTATGAATGATTAGAGATAACAAAGCTTCATTTTTGTTAGAAATGCATTACACATTTTTTGAAAGACTGTCCAGTTTTTGTAGCAAAATAGGATTTACTTTAATGGTCTCAATCAAGCTATTCTTAAGTGTTTGCTTTGCTACACCCGAAACGTCGTGAATTAAAAATAAATAAAATTAAAAGCGATAAAATCCGTAAAAAATCGTTTTATTCAATTTGTAGTGTTTACATAAATGTAAGAAATCATTATTTCAAAAAGGTTTGGAATCTAGAATTAATGTAATCTGGAATTATTGCTGTTTTATTACATTTTAGAAAAATTTAACACTATTGCAATTTTCAAAACTTTTTGTCACTGACACATAGATACTATATACTAAATATAATCACGTTTCCGAATTTCCAAATCAGTAGTGTGGCTTCCGATTCGCGTTCGCAGAAAAATTTACATTCTTTTTGTTTTGCACGGCATGCTGTTTAATTCCTTCAGTCCCCATTATTTAAAATCACAGAACACAAAAAATAAGTTTCTGTCTTATGAACAATACCGTTTTAATTACATTTCCCTTTCATATTATTGTTAAAATTAATTACTTGAACTCTAACATATGAATTCCTTTTTGTTTATATTATATTTGCATATTGACCTTTCTCTCTATGAGTCCGCGTCAAAAGTGAATTGTGAAGATTAACAGGGCTTTCCGTACGAGTTGAAGAGAATTTTTATAACTTTTGAGTTATTTTATTTGATTAATGACATAATTTGTAAAATTACTTTTTATCGTTACTTTGAGGCATCTGTAAATAATAACATATTTCAGAAAGTTAAAACTAGGTTTTTTATGCACTGTCCTAAAAACCTCAAAATAGGAAACATTGCAGTAAGCGATATAAGAAGGAATAATTAATAGACAAAAAAGTTAATTCCATCAAAACCGTAAGTTCCTCCTTAATTGATACTTTATCTACATATATGTATTTGTGTCTCTATACTTGAGTAGATTATTCATTAATGAAATCTTGCGTTTTATATACATAAGACTAGAAACATGTTGTGCTATGTACAGTTTGGTCGATAAAACAAAGATTACACGTAGCTTTAGTTAAGCACTTTCAATTAAGCTTAGTGAAGCGGAACTTTCGCTGCAAATTCCAATAAGATTGGAAAACTCTTAACGAAGAGAGCCAGTGTAGGTTTTCTGCAGTTTTCTTTAGCTTAAGTAATACATTAAACACTATTAAAAATATTGATAAGTAATATCTATGGGAAGTACGAGAAAAGTTTTTTGGCTTCTGATATAAGACGGTCTATTTAGTTCGCTTGCCCGACAAAATATCTAGAGCGGTAACAGGGAGTACCTTAAAAGTTACTAAATATTTGATCTGCTACGTTTATCTGTTTGCCATCCGTGGGGAATATGGCAAATAAGGCTCACTACGAGGGAGGCCCATGTCCAGGACAAATTATTTTACAGGTTAATGAAAAAGAAGATATATTATTTTACATGAATTTAATAACGTTTGAAATAAAATCCATTGAAGCCTCCAAGTCCACTGCTGAACTTTGGCCTCCACCACAGATTGCCCCATATAGATCTTGCCATTTTGGTTGGTAACCGCAGTTTGTTTTATAACTTAAAGTTGTCTGCTGCCCATTTCTTCCCTCTGTTGCCTCTTCCTACTCTTAAAATTTTAACAGTAAACATTTACTTATCTATACATATCATACATTATCATTATTGAATTAAACGTGATAAAATCCGTAACATTAGTTTTATTCCATGTGTAGTATACGTCATTATAGAACTGCATTTATGAAATTTTGAAGTCTAGTCAAACGTATAAAAAATATCTACATCTATTTTATGGTGCCAATTATAAATGAATGTAAAGAGTAAACTGTGAATAATAATAATAATAAATTTTGATTCGAAGACAGTTTACCTTTCTTATAGATACATCGGAAGACACGCCCGATATCAAAAATAGTAGCGGTTTCTAGACGTATATAGTCACGTGTTCCTGTAGCACATTATATCTATGCCAAATACCAATCATGTACGTCTAATAGTCATTTAGGATTCAAAATAATCTTTGACAGATAGAGACACAGACACCGAGGTGACTCTAAGTGATCGATTTTGCTATATTTGGCACGGAACAGCATTTAATGATGTTCCTAAATTCAAGCTCACGCGAGTGAAGCCGCGGGTAAAAAGTTAGTTTAATAATAAGTTACCTAGAGAAACATCCCGAAACAAAAGTGTAAGAGCACTCGTGGTCCGTGAATTTAACTTTAACGCTAAAGCACGGTCGCGGAGTAGGAATTTTTTATTGCTTTGCATTTTTAAACTTAATTCCAATCATAAAAAGTTTTATTTCTATTGCAACTAGGACAGTTTTAGGACCTTTTGAACAGTATTTGTGCTTCGAAAACCGAGTTTAATCTCAGGTTATTAAAGTTCACATTTGTATGAATTGCAATAATTTGAAATTCTTTCTGCTCCGCGATCACGCCATAATACGAGTATGTTATAATGTATGTGACGCGACGGTGCAAGTTGCATTATATAGAGATTACACTCGTATTTCGTGAAGTCCGTGTGAAATGCAAATATGACTGTGAGAGGATTTTATCTAAAAAGGTCCAAAGTGCAATGGAAAATGGAAGACAACCGAAACTTACCATAAATTTGAAATTATAAATTTCTCACGTTATGTTTCTATTAATATATATTAGGTTGATCAATAAGTTTTTGCAATAAGATACTTATCAATGAGTTAAAGAAATGCGTTCTATTTTTTTCGGTGGACTGCGCTCGTTTGTCGCCATTAACCTATATAAAAAAGTTAGTTTAAAATCGATAACAATGAGTACCGAATAGGCAAATAGAGAAGAAAGCCCGCCACGTGGTGGAAAAGTGAGGACTTGTGAAGTCCTCCAAGGGTGTTTTATAAGGGTTTCAATTTGAAAAATATTTTGAAAGTATGAACAGACTGTTCCCTGAAGATATTTCAAATTAACTATGAGGTGTTATTTCGATGCAACTGATTTTATAGTTAACTATTTTTATATAATTAATAGAATTATGTGTTACTTTACGCAAATTCATTATATTAAAAACTAGCAACCTGCCCCGACTTCGCCTGAATGGGTTCTATTAGATAATCAAAGACCATTTATTTTAAAATGTTTTTGTTTGTTCAATAAAAAAAACACTTAAAATTTAAGGATACCTAAGGATAAAATATACCCTAGATTCCCCCCCGCGTTGCTCTCTATGTATTTATAAAGTGTCATCACAATTGGATTAGCCATTCTAAAGATTAGCCCTGACAGACAAACAGACAAAATTAAAAAAAAAATGGTTATGTCTTAATAACACGCAAATAACCCCTTGAACTTAATGGCAGCCATGCATTTCAAAATGACTAAGAGATACGTCAATTATATTTAAGTATAATATGAATTATAGATATTAAAAATTAGCTAAAAGCTGCGTAAAATATTTCTTTAATATGCCGAACTTTTAAGACTGTTGCTCTATATAATAAAAATTAAAAAATTTTGTACAGTCGACTCCAATATAAATTATTAAGAATAACTCAAAACTAATGGTCTGACCTTGATCAAATTTATATGGGACCACACGATAAGTACCAGCTTTGAAATAAAAAAGAATCATCGAAATCAGTTCACCCAGTAAAAAGTTATGAGGTAACACAAAAAAAAAACATACAGTCGAATTGAGTATCGTCTCCGTTTTGAAATCGGCAGAAAAAAATAATGTCGGTTATTTTGCTCTCTGTGTTCGGACCTAGATGTGTGTGTGTGTGTGTGTGTGTGTGTGTGTGTGTGTGTGTGTGTGTGTGTGTGTGTGTGTGTGTGTGTGTGTGTGTGTGGGTGTGTGAAAGTATTGAAACCGATTAGATCATTAAGATAATATAATCCATAATGATCTTATATTATCTCAATAATCCAATTTAAATTTTCCAATCTAAATTTGATTGACTTATGCCCACTTTCACCAACGACCCGTAAGATTTATGGGACCCCTTAGCATATTTAGCGGCCAGTTAGGGGATAGTTTCCGTTTCACCACTTTTAAAGGGTCCGTTACTGACTAAACGATCCCCTAAATTTATGAGATGGATTATTGGTCCCATAAACCTTCACATAAGTAAAAGCGACTTTTAGAGGACAAGATGGACCGTGATCTATTTGATTTTCTTGATAATTTAGACACAACTGATACTATATTTGATATAAATCGTAGTCGAAGACCTAAAATATATCGAAAACGACCAAATTATTTCAACGATTTCGATGAAATAGATTTTTTCCGAAGATATAGGTTATCTAAATCAACAGTGATATATTTGTTGGAAAAAATTGAACATATTTTGGAATTTCCTGATAATAGGTGAGTACCTAACTATTTACATATGTTATCAATTTCAATGTATGTACAATAGTCTATAATGTTATTAAAACTGTAGTTTATTAAATATTTAAGTTAAAGTGTGGGTTCCTGGGTTCCTACATTTTCACTTATTACCTATTATACCTAGCTACGAAATAAAGGTAAAAGCATAAAAGGTTACTTTATTGCTCTCCTAACAGTAACTTTTGAATAGAAAATGAGCCTGTATAGGTAGGCCGTAGGTACCTGTTTGGTGCTAACCTACCTACCATGGTAAATTGATACCCGAGGTATATCTTACTTATGTTTCTACCTATTTTAATTTGTAGTTGTTTATATTTTTTACAGGAACAATTCCATACCACCCATAAATCAATTATTAATAGCTTTAAGATATTATGCCACAGGCAATCACTTGCTTGCTGTGGCTGATATGGGTGGTACTAGTTTGGCTACATCCAGCCGGATAGTAAAGAGAGTGTCTCAAGCAATTGTTTCCCTACGTCGAGAATTCATTATATTTCCTGATACAAACAGAGACCAAGACAGAGTTAAGATAGACTTCTATGATATAGCTAGATTCCCTAATGTACTAGGCTGTATTGATTGCACACATGTAAAAATTCAGTCACCAGGTAAATTCCTCATTTTTATTTAACTACCTTTCACTAAAAGTTCATTTCTCTTAGTAGTCTATCAAGCAATGCTGATGAAGTATTATTTATATCTATAGGTGGAGATGATGCTGAACTATTTAGAAACAGGAAAGGCTACATGTCCATAAATGTCCAAACAATTGCATCAGCAAAGTTGTTGGTCCAGGATGTTGTTGCACGCTGGCCAGGCTCTACACATGACTCAGCAATTTACCAAAATAGCTATATTTATAGAAAGTTTGAAAGAGGGGAGTATGGAGACAGCCATTTACTTGGGGATAGTGGCTATCCCTTAAAGGTAAAAGAAAAAATAAGGAGAATAATAATATAATATTGATTAAAACTTAAGTAGGTTACAAAAAGAATTACAAAAATTACAAACAAAAAGAATAACATCATTCATCACAGAGCTCAAAATATTGATTAAATAAATACTTTTTATTTAATAAAAAGATTATGCATGGGTAAGGGATATTTAATTAATTAAAAAGTACACTTAAACTAGTTATTTGCAGAACCATTTTTAGGTATTCCTGATACATTTTGAAAGTTTAAGGTGTGACCTGGAATAGAAAAGAAATATTTTACATCATATAAATTACATTATTATATACAATAATACTTAAAAATATTTTTGTTTTAGCCTCATCTCTTGACACCTTATCTCAACCCTACAACAAGTGGAGAACGAAAATATAATGAGGCCCACATTAGAACACGAAATGTGGTGGAACGGCAATATGGTGTGCTAAAACGAAGGTTTCCAGTACTTGCGGTTGGAATTCGTTTAGCTTTAAACAATGCCATTAATGTCATTATAGCTTGCTGTATCTTGCATAATATATGCATATTAAGAAATGAGCAACAGCCTGTGAATAATGATGATGTGCCTAACCTGGAAGAGCTAATTGCAAGGGGACAAATAAATAATATGGCATTTTCTGACAGACCTTCTTTGTCATATGGATTTCGCAGAAATCAAATTACACAATATTTTGATAATTTATAAATATCTAATTTATTATGTAAAATATATATAGTAATTTCACCAATAAATAAAACACATACCTTTTAATTGGTTGCATACTTCAGTTTTAATTTCCAATTCCTTTCTAGCTGTTTCTAACTGCAGCTGGTACAATTCTCTTTTAAATTTTATTTCTTCTTCTAACATTTTAATTTTTAAATCTTCCACAGTAGCCTTTTTAGAATTCAAATCTTTAAAACCTCCACATAACGTTGAAACAACTTCAGCTTTATCCTTATTTTCTTTAATTATTGGTCGTCGTCTTTTCCATATAGGTGTGGACTTTATAAATTGAGACGATGTTGGTGATGACAGTGTTGGAGCAATGTCATTATTATTCCCAACATCGTTATTTTCAATATTTTCCACATTTCTTGTATTGCACTAAAATTGTAACAAAACAAATTCTAATATAAAAATCACAGTGTAAATATAATATAATCATACAGTGGGTCGACACCTATACAAATGAGTGAAATAATTTTGTATTGAAAATTCTGCCAGTTTAGTTCATTTTGTCGTTGTCGCCTCGTAGTGTTTCTCTGTCTAGCCCTCTATTGAACCACTGGTAGGAACAAAAGCATCTCCTTAAACAAACACAATAATATACATAACTTACTTTTATATAATATTATAATATGTAACAAACTTATTGCCCTGATTTCTACTACGGCATTTGGACTATTTGTCAGTCAGTTTCTAATTTTAATATACCTACATAATAGAGAATTCTATAAATACTAACATTTTCATTTTGAAATATTAAAATTTCCATTGTCTCATCACCAAGTATTGGTAATGAACTGGCTTCAGTAATTTGGTCAGCATCTGAATCCTGGACATCAGTTATGCCTGTACATGCTCGGCCCATCAAGTCACTGACTTGTTCCAAAATTATATCTGTTTTAACACACGATGGGCCACCTCCTGTGCCATTGTGACTGCTTTTGCTAAGTGCTTTGTATAACTTCGCATCAGTCTTCATTTTCTCCCAGACTCTCATAAGAGATTCTTTACTTCTGAAATGTTAGTGGTAGGTTATTAAAAGGCAATTCAGTACGTTCATCATAGTAGATAAAGAGGTTAATGTACTGAGAATACAGGTATTAGGTAGGTAACTTCTCATTCAAGTAAGTAAATAGAAACTCTTTAATACACACATTGCATATTATACAAAATCAAGATAATAATTATGACAATAACTATTTACAGCTATAAAGTTTGGATGTAAAGGCAACTTAACTTTAAAACAACTATAACAAGTACTAAACAAAAGGTTTATTTTTATCAATAACTGTTTATCAATAACTTACCTAGCCGTGGTTCCTGTGGAATTAAATCTTGTGCACAAATTCACCCACGCTTCATTCTTCGCTTGATTTGTTGTACCGTCCGTCTTTTTATTTAATATAACATTTTTAAAAGTATTCATTAACTTTACAAGTTTATCCTTTTCATCAAACGTGAAATTTTGACACCGCTTTCTCTTATTTTCGGCCATAATTATAAAATAAAAAGTTAGAAACGAGATACCAAAGGAAACACCACGAAAACTTGCAGCTGTGACTTGCAGAGACAAATGTCAAACAGTCAATGCACAGATAAAGCTGAGTGTCAAATACGGTGACTTGTCAAACATAAACTAAAAATATGATATTTTTATTAAAATATTAACAAAATGAAAACATATATCAGTCAAAATATGAAAGAACTAATTTCTTCATTAAAATAATACATGAATACGTATTTTTTGTATTAATATATATCATTTCCGATAAAACCGGTAACTACAACTGGGTATCAAGCACTATCGTCGTAAAAAATCGGTCACATAAGGAAGGGTCCCCTAGCTATAAGTCCGTTGCGTTCGTGAAAACAAATTTTAGTTATGGGTTGGTTTAGGGGACCTTTTAGCTTAGCGGTCGTCTAACTATGTGATTGTTTAGGGGATGTCGGTGAAATTGGGCATTAACCTTTTTTTAAACGAGCAAATGCCTACGTATTACCTAGCGGGAACAAAGATGGGTTATATCGAGCCCGCACTAACTAAAACCTCATAGTGTTTCACCTTCAAGACAAGGCTGCGGGATCTTTTTCGCCCATATCCAAAGAAGACAACTGTCTCCCCTTCTCAGTCTGATACGAGGAGGCCATGTGACTAGCAAAACTCACTACTCAGTAGCACCAGTCTACCTGACCCTAGCGGCGGAACTAGTCAAGGCTACGCCGCTGACCAATTTTCGGAGGAGGGTTGTAGGTAAAGAGCGGTGCCGTGCAATACCGACACTGTTTTCACCGGCCCCACCACCATCGCATCAACGGTGCGAGCCCCCCAGATATGTGGAGGATAGGACAAGCGGCGCATCGCCGCGCCACACTCCTTCCCCCCCGCAACACCACTTCGACTGCGGTGAGAAGGGAGAGAGAACAATCCTCCCGCTACAGAGCCAATACAAATCCGAGTTGTCTTGGCAGAACGGCCACCTCGAGCCGGATCTTCACCTCGAGCTAGTCAAGTGGGTTCCTCGGCCATGCCAATGCTACTAAACTACACCAGGAACATGGCGGGCACACGGCGGGGTAATATGGTATAAGTTACTTAGTATGGTATAAGTACTTAAATATCTTTTTTTTATAGAATAAAAACGAGCACACTATCCACCTGAAGGTAAGTGAATGCTGTGGCCCATAGACATCTACATACCATTATCTTCGATTACGAATCAAAATGCAGATGCGATGTCGCCGTGAGGACTAAGATGGAATATCTCGTTTCCAGTAAAAAGGGTCTCCGGTTCTCTACACTCATCATACGAAACACAGCAGCATTAAGCTGCTATTTTACGCTGGTATTCTGTGAGAGCATGGTCTACCCAGATCGAGCCGACCCATTCGTGCAACAACCATAACATGGCTACAGCGTGGCTCTACCACGTAATAAAAAACTTGACACTTGAAACACGTTAAATTTGCACAAGGAGTTCTTTTTACTCACTCTTTGTACTCGTAAATCATTTAAAACAACGTTTGAGTTATGTATACGGACCATTTTACTTTCAACATGAACAACGATAAACGTAAAAACTTTTAAATAAACGCTATTTAAAACCTCGAATCACCTTCACCGCGGCAACCTTCAAAGTTAATTATGATGTAATAGTACATGAGATGGATCCTAATTGAGTCACAGGCGCACAGAATACCCAATGGAGCGACAAATGGGTCCTTCTGCTCCAGTTGCCATGCCAACGGACTTTAATACTGTGGCCCTTCTAAGAGCTTAACTAATCTCGTAAATTTCATTCTGGAATTTAACACGTGAAAAATGAAATTCGAGGTTACTTACCCTCGAAGGAAGGTAAATTGGGGCTGAATAATTTATTTTCGGGTATTCTTATTGCGTGTGTATTTGACCCAAGCGTCTCATTTTTATATGATGAAGTTATGAAAGGTTGATGGAAAAATGTTTCTACACTGAGTACTTATAAATGGTGCATTATGCGAGTTGCTGACTTCATTCAGCAACTCAACGTTTCTAGGAGGTGGTTTGTTTGAATAACTAACTACATAGTAGTAATACTAATATTAAAGATTTTAAAAATTAATTATCTAAGATTCTAATGTTGTGTCTCACCTAGTTTGAAGAGCTTTTCAGGTAAAGCCACGTATCCACCAAAAATGTTGACAACAGTTATGTTTCCAACTTTTTCCAACTGTTTCCAACAAGCCACTCCACCGAGGGAACAAATGTTGGCACCAAGCTGCAACAAGCGTATTCCTTTGATGTTGCCGCCGAAAATGGAAACAAGTTTTGTTGGCAACTGTTGTGTTGGCAACAAAGCTTTAGACACATCAGTATCCACCAAAAATGTTGACAACAGTTATGTTTCCAACTTTTTCCAACTGTTTCCAACAAGCGTCTCCACCGAGGGAACAAATGTTGGCACCAAGCTGCAACAAGCGTATTCCATTGATGTTGCCGCCGAAAATGGAAACAAGTTTTGTTGGCCACTGTTGTGTTGGCAACGAAGCTTTAGACACATCATTTTATTTTATTACGCGGATTTTAGCAAATTAACTTTTAACATCTTTGATATAATGGATTTCCGCAAAGTAACGCCTGCTTCTATTATTTAGCAATAGTAATAGTAATCATAGTAGTAGTAAAAAAAAAACTATTGATTTTTTTAGATCCGTAGTGTGACTGTTCCCTTATTTCTGACTCTGAATTCTAGTTTACAGCTTATAATGTCTTAAATGAAGAAACTGAGTGAGAAGATTGCAGCGCGGGCATTCAGTATATATGACAAACACGCTTTTTCTGCCGACTTCCAAAAAGGAGACGGTACTCAATTCGACTGTATGTTTTTTTTATGTGTGTCACCTCATAACTTTTTACTGGGTGAACCGATTTCGATGACCCTTTACTAAAGCCCAATGACTAGGTGTGTTATTGTGTGAACAAGCATAGTGCTATTTCGTTTTTTCCTTTTTAGCTTTTCTTATCATCGTCATTATTATTACAACCCTTTACAAGTATACAGCTGAACTTAGACCTCCCCCAAGCCACGGTCCTGAGCCTTCCTGCATAACCTAACCTAATAACGGTATTAGGTCTTCACTCTATATAATGCAGGGCTGCCCTACACTTCGCTTTACGGTAAGGTGCTGTCACTCGAGTACCTGTCTTTCTTCCTCAGCAGTTGTCAGTTCTTCGAGCCATTTGCTTCGGTCCATTGCCACTTTAGCTTACAGATCCGTTGGGCTATGTCAGTTACTCTAGTTCTACTGCGGATATTCGCATTTAGAAGTGTATCATGCAGAGAAAATTTATATTTTTGCAGCTTTTATTGTTGCAGCGTAATATAGCAGCATTAAGGACGCTCGACTTGGGAAGGATCACGCACGTACAAGACAGCATTATGCTGTTATTAATGGTGACTAACGAAAACCGGAATCCCTTTTAGCTGGTCAAAATGTATTCCACCACAGTCTCCAGGGTGGACAACTATAGATGTCGGTGTCTTTAAGCCATAGCATCTATT